TTACCTGTATCCTTTCAAATGGGTCTGTTAAAAGTCCAAATAGATTTTCTGTAAAGTATATATTTGACTGGTAAAGACTATAAACGACTAGAGGTTTCTAAAATCTTCTTCTTCACCACAATGAACTCATGGCTGCCTTTGGACATGTGTGTTTACATTTTAGAGATTTGATAATAGCACTGTTCTAATTAGAGTTCCTGAAGGGATCATAATTTATCTCAGATAATTCGAAAGGATTCAGGTAATGCTGAGTAACCATAAAAAGGCAACCACAGCAACCATCCCACTCACAACCAAAGGACTAAGGTTACCAGTGAGGGTGGAAAGAGCAAAGGGGATGTCCAGCAGAGCTGCAGGGAGAGTATGCCACCCAGATCAGAGCAGGGAGGAAATCCTTGGTTTCTTCTCTTCCTATACTAAGCATCATGCTGTACCTCACTTTGGCCAAAGCCAGCCAGAAGCTAGCAATGGAGCCCCAAAGACTCCTTTTCCTGGCCTATTTGCTGGAGCAGGGAGCCAGACAGAGGACGTCAGAGAATAGACCTGAGCAGATTTGGGGGCATATACTTCAAAACCCTCTTCAAAATGAACTGGGAAGAAGCCAGGCAAGAGAAGGCAGATTCACTGTTCGGCCTTATTTCTGCCAAGCTAATTGGAAATCATGGCCTTACCTGTGTGGCCAGAGCTGATACTAAATCCTTGGTGTGGGAACAACTGAAGGACCCCTCGGGGGAAGTACTTCTCTCCCTCCACAGATCAGAAGACTACAGAATGCTCTGTCCAGAAAGAGGGAAAGATGAGGTGGATTCTGCTTTTTCCCTAACAGCGCTTCCTAGCATTGGCTTCACCCCTGAACCCTGGACAGGAATTAAGGGGGTGGTAGGAGAATGGCCAATAGAACCCCCTTTCCTGGACAGGAATTAAGGGGGTGGTAGGAGAATGGCCAATAGAACCCCACAGGGACGCTTGTGCCCAGGAGCCTCTCACAGTGATACCTGTACTGATTGCTGTCGTTTTTTTCAGGGCACTTGCGTGAGCTGTTCCCTGGTGTACTGGAGCAAATGTCCTGCTAACGCTGAGCCCACAGTGAGTGTGATAAGGCTAATGAGAAATCTGAGCAAACCCACTGGTGTCCCTTCTCAGCCTTTCTGCCTCCCTTCTTTAAGCAATGTTCATGCATTTCAGCTAATGTAAGGTGAGCTCTTGGCATACTGCAGGGGGATGGTAGGAAGAGAACCCACAGATCCATGTTTCAATCCTAGCTCACTGACCTGAATAAGGTGTTCAACCTCTTTATTCTAATGTTCTTTTCTTTTTAGTCTGTATGAGCATTTTTGGGGGGTCTTTTTGAGACAGGGTCTCCCTGTAGCCCCAGCTGACCTGGAATTAGCTATGTAGAACAGGCTGGCCTCAAACTCACAGAGATCCACCTGCCTCTGCCTCACAAGTGCTAGGACTAAAGGTGTGTGTGTGTGTGTGTGTGTGTGTGTGTGTGTGTGTGTGTATGAACATTTTACCTGCATGTATATAAGTGTGCTCATGTCCCAGTAAGGTCAGAAAATAGTATAGGATCCCCTGGAACTGGAGTTACAGTCGGTTGTTATCCACCATGTGGGTACTGGGAATCAAACCCAAGTCCTCTGCAAGAGCAGCCAGAGCTCTCAACTGCTGAACAATATCTCCTGCCCCACCTTTTTAAAATTTTTTATTGAGTTTTTTTAAATTTCATACATTTCCCACTCAAGTCCAGACTCCCTCCACCATCCATGCCTCCCCCGACCCCCCACTGAACCCTATGCACTCTGCCATACATGCTGAGTCCTATTTATTCAGGTATTTGTACCCAAATGTCCTTCAGTGTAAATGCATCCACTGGAGTCTAGTCAGCCCATCCAGAGATATGTAAGTCATACTCTCACTAACCCAGCAGCAATCAGTCTCAAATAGTTCTCAATCTAGTGCTGGTCTGCCACCTATTTCTCACCTCCCCTTTGGGCCCTTGCTTAATTGAGCTGACATGGATCCCATGCTTAATATCACTGCTGCCGCAGGCTCACATGAGCAAGCCTCCGGCGGCCTGGAAACCTCCACCTCCCTGTGTTTATGAACCAGCCCTGGCTCTTACAATCTTTCCTCCTCCTCTTCTGCAATGGTCCCTGAGCCATGGGTGGGTGAGGTTCCACATAGGAGCCCCATCCTACACTCTACAGTCTGTTATTCTCCAAAACTTGGCCAGTTGTGGCCTTCTGTGTGCACCACACTCTGATGTACAAGAAAGCCTCACCGGTGAGAGTTGAGGGGTGCATTAGCCCTCTCTCTACCCCTTATTCCGTGATATTACATGAGCCTTAGTTGTAATGATTCAACTCCAGCCCCATGTTTATTCTAGTTTTCTTTATTTGTAGAGAACAGCAGTATTAGCATAAATAAAGCCCCCCGGCATCACACCAAAAGCAAACAGCTTCTCAGCAAAGCTTCCTCTACTTTTCCCTCCTAAATGAAGTCTGTGTTGGTATTTTCTCTTCCCAAACATTATTCTAGAGAAATACAAAGGAAATATCAAGAAATATCACTGTTACTTAGGCAGGAAAAATAAGTTCCACATTAGGCACATGATGCTGGCTATATACTATAGTATCTAATGACCTATGCATTTTAAAATTACTAAATGTACTCCCCACAAGGAAATAATAAGTACTTGTGGTGATTTACATTAATTATCTTGACTTAATCATTCTACAATGTAAACATATAATATCACACTATGCCATATAGACATATATAGTTACTATTTGCCAATTAAGAATACAAATAAATGTCAGGAAATAACTCCAAAACTATTTTAAACTTTTTAAGTTCGATTGAATTCATCACGTTTATTGAAGTTTGATCACACATTAGATATGGTTCTTGATCTGGGGACAAAAAGATGAATAAGATATTGTTTCAGTTTTATTTGGTTTGGTTTTTGTCTTGAGAAGCTGAATCTAAAAAAGAAAACAAATATTTATGCAGCAACCTGTAATTACATGCAGAAAACTCTACTGGAAAAAGCAAAGTTCCACATTAGGCTCTAAAGGATGACAAATTCTGCTTGTAAGTTCTTCATAAAAAAGGAATTTCCCAAACAGAAGTTGCTTTCAATATTAGAATATATCATTATGGAAAGTGATGAGCTCTTTCAGGAAGCACTCATATTACAAAGTATTTAATAAAACAAAAATTAGCATTAAATAGGTGCAGGTGCTCAGATCTTTGTTTTGCTTATGGAAGCCATCTCCTCTGAGTCATTTGGGAGACTGTCAGGCAAGGAGCAGGAGAGGAAGAAGAGTAAGCTGGTACCACAGTGACTATTGGGTGCCCAACATTGTTCTAACTGCTCTATGCAGCAACCTTTTCTTTTGCTGTAATAAAACACCCCCACAAAAACGATGTAAGAGTAAAGGGGTTCATTTTGGGTCACAGTTTAAGGGGAGGTAGCCCATCCTGACAGGAAAGAAATAGCATGAGACTGTTTCTCACATTATGTCTGTGGTCAGAAAGCAGAGGTGAATGCTTGTGCTCAGCTAGTTAGATTTCTCCTTTTTACGCAGTCTCTGAGACCCCATCCCATAGAATGATGCTGTCCATATTCAGAGGGAGTCGTCCCACCTCAATTAACCTAATCTAGATAATTCCTCACAAGCATGCCCAGAGATTTTTGTCTCTTAACTGATTCTAGATCTTGTCACGATAACAATAAAGTTACCATCACAGCTACAAAGGAGACATGGCATCACCTTTGTGCAATTAGGGAACCAAATCAAGGACACATAGCTGACTTACGCCAGAGCCATGGTTTGGTCTGTGTGCCTGACACCATTTAGACAGCCTCAAAGTAGGAAAAGAAGAGGAAGAAGGGAAAGGAAAGGGAGTGAGACACAAGGGTAAGAACGAAAAGAGCTCCAGTTCACTTCATGAGACCCGATGATCCAGAGCTGGTTGATTATCCTGAAACTCAAAAGAGGACTAGAATGTTCATTCCTTGGTAACCTCAGAATATACTTATATAGCTAAGATTTTTGGATTTTGTAGCCTTGGAAGGTCTCCTCAGTCCCTTCTTAAGCAGACCCTAAGAAGGGGAGATAAACTTAACACAAACATTTATCTAATACAAAATTTGAGCTAAATACAAAATCTGAGGAACTAAATTCTTGAGATAAAACTTGATGTCCCATTTCATGTGAGGCAGAGAGACCCTCAGAGACTGTATGATTTGTTCATGATCCTACAGTTAGCAAGTTGTAAGACTTACTCTCTGGACCAGGCACATACTAACAGTGCTTCTCAAGGAAAAAAATGGCTTAGCCTATCTGAGCCTCAGTTTTCTTACCTATTAAAAAAAATGTGAAAAAATATTCACATGGGCTGGGAAAGTGATGAACTCATGTGCAATGTGTCCAGCCCATTGTAAGTTCTTTTTTTCTAATTTTTATCAAAATTTTGCAATTTTCATACAGTATAATTTGGTAAGTTCTTAATAAATGAGAGTTATGGATAATTACGAGTGGGTACCAAAAATTTTTTAAAGGAAGAATGCATTTAATCAGCCCGTGCTTCTGAAAGGAAAGCCTCAGACTGTTATTTTAGTTGGTAGATTTCTTTCCACAAAGAATAGATACACACTGGCTCCAAAATTTCCATGTAAGTTTAGGGATGGCTACAGAATAGAAGAGGAGATCAGGCCACAAGCAGGACAAAGCAGAGAGTGCTCATTGATCGATTAGAGCTGTCTGCCGTGGTGTGAGGGGAGCTGTAGAGATCAGTGTGCCACACATTGTCCAAAGCCTGACTTGTGCTCTACCAACAAGGAAAGAGGCCTCATGAAGTTGGTGGAGTCTCACTTAGACCCAGGTATGCTGGTGTGGCCTATGTCCTGATGCCACCATGGAGTGGAGTAGCAGCACAGGGAGCAGTTGCCTGTTGTCCAGAGGACCCTAGAATACAAACAACAGTGTGTTTGCCCACTGGCTTTCTTCCAGGCACTCTTCACACACAAATGTGTCTACAGCAGCAGAATACGGAGCCTGAAAAGTGGCTGTGCCCGATACTGTAACGCCACCGTGAAGGTAAGGAGGGTGCGGTCAAGGTCTCATTCACGCCATCGAGGCCTGAGAAGCTCGAAAGCTGTACCTTTGAGTCTGGGGTCTACATGGTCACAGGTGGCCTATAGGGCTTTAGAATGTTTTCCTGCATGGAAAACAAAGGATGAAGCCTTGGTAGAGTGGTTAGATCACCACCTCCATGAATCACACATCTCTGAGACCCCTTCTCTCTTAACATATAGTCGAAGCTCTTGGCACCTACATGGTAGTCAACCTCCACCCAAATCTCTGACCTGGCTCTTGCCCACCCTTCTACCTCAGAGCATGCATACTTACCATTTCCTTCCTTAGAACGCTTGTGCAGATGTTCAAGGACTGACTCATCTTTCCAGTCTCCATCTACCTAACTCCTCCTATCACTACCTGACAGTCCCCTAACCTCCACCTCTACCTCCACCACTTCCTTTCAGAACTTTGTTTTCCAAGTGCTTACCAGTCTCTTGAATGATTATTTATTTACCTATTTATTTATTTATGAAGCCTTGTACAAACTAGGCAAGCACTCTACCACTGAGCTCTATTATTTCTACCACTTATTATTATTATTATTATTATATTTCTACCACTGAGCCCTATTATTTCTCTGTTTTATCTTCTGTGTTAGCTCTCCCTCACTCACCCCTATGCTCCATGAGCACAAGCCATCGTCTACCTTGTTCACATGTTTTAGAAGTACTGTACTTGAGGGAGATGCTCAGTCGGTTGGTGGTAGCCATGTTCCTGAGTATTAGCCAGCTCATAAAGAGGAGCTGACATTGTATCATACTAGCAGAAATCAGAATCAGTGCTTTCTTTGGGGTTCCCAAAAGGCGGTACGTGTGTCGTTTGCAGATACCAAAATGCTGTAGTGGCTTCTATGGGCCCGACTGCAAGCCGTGTCCAGGAGGCTTCTCGAATCCATGCTCAGGAAATGGACAGGTGAGGACAGTCCCCTGGTTCACATTGTTTAATGCATGCTTTCTTCAGTCACATAACAATGTTTAAAACTGATAAACCAAAATGTGGTACAGTGCTGGCCAGTGTTGCCAGGAGTCAAATAATTAGATCTGTTACTAAGGGAACAGGAAGCATCTGCAGTAGGAGTCTGGGCCTGGGGAGGAGAGGAAGGGAGAGTCTAGCAATGTTGCTTTTAAGTTTGTTCCCTTGTCTCCTAACATGGGGTCTTGGGAAACTCAGTAAAACTCTCTAGACCTTACTTTCCAAACCTGCAAAAGATCTTGAAGTCTACAGTTTTATGGTACCTAAAAAATAATAACATTGCCCAGTGGTTGCTTCAAAACCTTGTGAAATGTAAAGGCCAAAACTTAACTCATCTAGTTGGAGGCCAAGATCAAAGGAAGGTAAAAGCAATCATGATTCATGTCGGTAAACTCTACATCTAGGAATTTAATAGTTCTATGTCTAAAATATGACTTTTGCAAAGAGAAAGAAAAACTATGTATAAAAATGAGGAGAGGCCGGCACTAATGCCTAAAGCCAGGTGGGGAAGGTAGGCTACACCCAACTCTGATATGTGTCAGTCAGTCCAAACCTGGTCTTCCCAGGGTTATGCAGGTGAGATTTATACTTGAGGGAAAACACTACAGCATGGACCACAGAGCTGAACAGGCAAGAATGTAGAGAGAGCAGGGAGAGACCTCATCTGAAGGTCCCTGGATGGCACTGCCGTCCCTTATACGTTGTGTGAAGGCTCTCACTTCAACTTTGTAGCCCTCTGTTATGTGAGTTATCTTGGGGAGATGTGAACAAATATGTATTCACTCCAGATACAATCTGACAACAGACCAAAGAAACAATTTCACCCAAGCCTAGCTTGGTGAACCACTAAGTTTATTGAGGTTACTTATAGATGCAAAGGTGACTCTGGGCAGCCACTGCAGCATGAAATGATGACTCACAAAAGTTGCATCTCTAGAATACTCTGCCCAACTTGCAGTAAGTCCCACTGGAAAGTCTTCTGCCCCAGCAATTGTTTACTGCTTATATAACCTCTGGGAGAGGCCCTGTGAGTCTTGTAACTTTCTAAGATTCTTGGGTCTTACAAGTAAGTTTTGTGAGCTTGTGAGTTTCCTGAGCCTGGTAAGTTTCATCAGCTGAGTTCTGAGCACCACCCCCCCATGTGAAATAGTTTGATTCAGAGGACACAGCTACATAACACACCCTTGCATGATAGCCTTTAAGGTTCTAAATGCTGGATCAGGGTCCCCAGGCTCAGCACTGTTTTTACATCCTTCCTTATGCCAAGATGAGTCTACCTGCCACAAGGAGTCCAGAGTCGTTTCTAGTATGGTTGAATCTGAATTCCAAGCCAGGCCATGAAGCTTCTCTTTCATTGATATATGTGTCCTAATGGCCTTCGGTGCCTGCCTTTGCTCTCAGTGTGCAGATGGCCTCAGTGGCAACGGAACATGCATTTGTGAGGATGGCTTCCAAGGCTCCCAGTGTCAGTTCTGCTCTGACCCCAACAAATATGGACCTCGATGTAACCAAAGTAAGTGATGCCTCCAGAGATTCCTTCCACTGGATCCCTCTTGACCCGAGCACACTGAGGGAACAGGTCTGCTGTCTTGAGATTTTTGCTGGTTACGGTATGCCATCGTCACAGGGGAATTTCTTAAGTGCTGCTTTTCAAAATACAACATGTGCCAGACAGCTGGGCCCCACCTGCAGAAGTTCTGATTCAGTAGGTCTGAGATGAGCCTGAGAAATTGCACTTCTAATAGGTTCCAGGGGGTGCTGCCAGTGTTGGTCCAGGGACTACACTTTAGAAATCACTCTCTATATTCCTGAAGTAATAAATGGTTCATTTCAAGAAACACATCTGCTCCCTTTCAAATAGTTCTTTTCCATCAGCTCCTCCATGTAAGAATTATATCCTTGGACAAGTTACAACACCTCTCTAATTGGAAAATGAGGGTGATAATATTAATAAGTATCTTGTAAGTTTAGTGAAAGCTATATATGGAAAATGTGCCCTTGTGCATAGCACACAGCTACTATTATTACCTCTTATTGTTGCTCTGTGAGCAGTGACCATACCTAAGTGACATGTATATCAAAAGGCCTCTACAGCATGTAGAAGTTTCCACTATAGGTATCGAAAAACGCAGTTCTGCACTCATAGAAAATGTGTTATTCTTTAAAAGTATCTCCTATGTATATTTAAATATGTGCATTTGGAGATATATATTTCTAAGCTAAGATTAGAACTTGACAATAAAGTAAAAGAATAGGTAAGAGCTGCCTGTGGAGGCAGACCAACCAGAAGTTAAATTCTCACATTTATAATTTACTAGCTCCACAACCTGTCAATTTCTCCATCTAGAAAATCAAGATATATTGGTATAGTTGTCCCTCCAGATCCATTGGCTCTGGGATACATCACTACCACCAACACTTGCAACTGCTCAAGTCGTTTACATAAAATGCTGTAGCATTTGCCTTGATCCTCACACACATCCCCAAATGTTCTTTAAATCATCTCAGGTGACTTACAGTACCGCATCCAATTAAATATTATACTGAATTGTTTAGGCAATAATAGCAAGAAAAATTCTGCATGTGTTTAGAACAGATGCAGGGGTGAAATAGCCTGGAGATTATACCTATTAAGTAATCAATAAACAAAGCCATATGTTTTACTGCCCCTCTAACCCCACACATCTGAGACAAACACTTCCTTCCCTCTCATAGCTTACTTGGCTGGGAAACCAAGTAAGGTCAGAGTTGCCTAGTCCAACTCCATTGTTATTTTTGCCAGGATTTCTGAGACACAAATAGGGGTTTATTTCAAAGCTGAACAACCTTACCATTTACCAGCTCTCCAGCAGGATGTGGAAGCCAGAGCAGGGGAGGTAGGCTTCCAGCTCTGCCTGTCATCTTTGACCTGTGGTCTCTGGTGTCTTGGTCCTACGAAGTCCTAGCTTATGTTCTGTTTAAAACCCAGCTTTCATTTTCTAGACTCCCTCCTTTGAGTTTGTCTGTTCTTTCCTGGATGTTGGTTCCAAGCACCCATGCTAGTTCCTGTCCTCTCAGTCCCTGCTGGGACAAGGCTCAGAGTCCTTCACTTAAAACATACTTCTAGCCCCCAAATCCTTAAAGTCTTCCATTGAGAAGCTACATCTCCTTCCTTCTCTCCCACATCCTATGCATAGATATCTGATGAACTTACACTGCAATGTGTGAGTGTGTGTGTGTGTGTGTGTGTATTCATTCATATGGGTGGAGATGTGTATGGAGGTGTGGATACATATGTATCCATGTGCATGTGGAGGCTAGAAGTCAGTCTTGGGTATCTTTCCTCAGGTACCATCCATCTTGTTTTGTGAGACAAGAGCTCTCTCTCTCATCAGCCAGTGAGGCCCAGGGATCCACCTGTCTCTGCCTCCCCAGTGCTGGAATTACAAGCATATACCACCATGCTTGACTTTTTAATATGGGTTCAGGGAATTTAACTTGGGTGTGCGTGCACTTTATGGCTGAACTAAACCCTCATCCCCCACTTTGCAATTTTTAAATACCAATATTCAAAATCAAGGTAAACAGCTAAAGTTTAAGAGGACAAGAGGCTGGTTAATATGATGATCCAATGTGTCTATAGTCACACTATATGGATTTAAACAGCCCAGGGTCAAGTCCCTACATGGGAATTTGGAGACAAACTGGACAGTGCTTCCGGCCCTCTGGGCCTCAACTTCTGTATCTAGAGCGTGGATTCTAGGCCTACCTACCCCTGGGACTGAAGGTGGTTAGTGAGATGGCAAAAGGCAAGTTGAGGACCTTAAATGAAGTCGGGGCCCAAATGCTGGTCACTAGTTATTGGTTTCCTGTAAGAGAGAATGGAGCATAAACACATGAGTCTGTCGGGGGCTCTACCAACACGAGAAATCTCTTCTATTTATTCTAGAATATCTTGAAGAGAAAGTGAGAAATTTCTTGGCTAATGTGTCCAACCACAAAGTAGCTGAAAATTGGGTTCCTTGGCTTCTTTCACCACATCACAAACCACCTCCTTCCCCACACCCACACAGACACCGAAAGAACCCTAGGGACCAATGCATCCTCCTCCAGGGTGGGACCAGCTGTTCTCCAGGGCTGTCCCTGGCACTCTGAGACTGTCCCTGGCGACTCTTGAGTTCGGCCCAGCTCTACTTTGACAGCAGTAGGGGGAGGGGGAGGCGGTCCCCATCCTTCATGGTGTTATACCCCAATGGGAACCGTGTTCCCCAAGCCCTCAACATCCCCTTCTTCTCCTTCAGCCTGTCTGTGTGCTCATGGAGCATGTGATAACAGGATCAACAGTGACGGAGCCTGCCTAGTGGGTACATGCAGGGAGGGTACAGCCGGAATGTTCTGCAACAAGCAGACCTCAGCCTGTGGGCCCTATGTGCAGTTCTGTCACATCCATGCCACCTGTGAATACACCAATGGGACAGCCAGGTAGGTCTGTGAAGGGAAGGCCCGGTGCCACTTATGCGTGGAGCCAGGCCATATGTATACAATTTATAAAGTAAGGCATGTCTGCCCAGCTGACAATGTGGCTTTTATGGAATCTCAAACTGAGCTAGATCTAATTTGCAACAGTCCCTGCTTTGAAACACAGTCCTCTCTGAGCTTCATTTTCCTCATGAGTACTGATGAAATCTACCTAACAGAGCAATAAGTAGAGATTAGAAGAACCAAATATAAAAGCACCCACCACCAGAACCGGCACATCATTGGCATCCCATTGTGTGATATTATGTGTGATATTTTGATCACACATATGAAAACAATAAAGTGAGGGAGGACATGCAATAATCCGAGCACTCAGGAGGGGGAAGCAGGAGCATTGCAGCAAGTTCTAGGTCAGTCCAAACTACAAAAAGACCTTATCACAAAAATTCAAAAGTGGGAGCAGGGAAGGTGGCTCAATGATTAAAAGCACCTGCTGCTCTCGCAGAGGACCTGAATTCATCTCCTAGCACCCACATTGGGTGGCTCACAACCACCTGTAACTCTAGCTCCAGGGGATCTAACTCCCTCTTCTGGCCTCTGTGGGCATACACACATATGTGGCATACACACATACAGACACACAACACATGGACATAAATAATAAAAATAAATCTTAAAAAATATCCAAAAGCAAGGAATGAAAGTAGGGATAGAGGATGGAAGGAAGGAAAGAAAGGAAGGAAGAAAAGATCAAAGGGAGGGAGGGAGGAAGGAAGGAAGGAGAAGGAAGGAAGGAAGGAAGGAAGGAAGGAAGGAAGGAAGGAAAGATAGATTCATTGTTTGCCTTGTTGCTGACAAAATACCCTGACTAACATAATTTAAGGAAGGAAGGGTTTGTTTGGGCTCACACACAGTATCCAAGCCAGTCTATCGTGACAGAAGGAGCTGAAATCAGCTGGTCACATTCTATCCACAGTCAGGAAGCAGAGGGAGAGGAATGTTTGTGCTCAACTCACTTTCTCTTTATTCAGTCCTGAACCCCAGACATGAAATAGTGCTGCCCACATCCAGGGTGTGTCATGCCACCTCAATTAACCTAACCTAGATAATCCCTCACAGGAATGCCCAAAGGCTTGTCTCCTAGGTGATTTTATGCCCTGTCAAGTTGACAATCAATGTTAACCATCAACAGAAGGAGAGCAATGAAATTTCCATCCTTCAAAGACATCTTACTTTCAAAGTCTGTTGATAGCTCTTATGTAAAAGGCATCTGGTATCAAGTTGAGTGATGGAAGGACTTCCATTTATTGCCTTAAAGTGCACAACAACCACAGTGAGTTTAGGAGATGGGAAATGCCATAGGAAACATCCTCTCTGAGAACATCTAGTTCAAAAGCAGTAACTACCCAGATTACCCTGGAGGGTGCACAGGATGGCTAGAATTCCCACCCTGCTCAAACAACATGTTTCTCAATTTATATTTACATAATTGCTTGCTTATTGTTTGGGTTTGTCTCTCCTAATAGAGCAGACTGCATGAGGGCAAAGCCTAGGCATCTTTCCTGTGGTTAAATGACAGAAACATATGCCTAAGGAAGTAGAAACCACATCAGTGCATGGCAAAACTCACCAGTAACCAAATAACCTCCAGGACCTCCTGCATCACCCACAATAGGCTCTCAATGTGTTCTGTACGATCTGGGGCATCTCAATTGCCTCTGTTAGAACAGATCAAAGTGTCTCTTCATGTGGACTCCAGATAAAGTATATAGTTCCCCTAGGAAACTTGATCCAGGAGAAATAATCTTTGGTTTTTGTGACGCATATATCACTAAAATTTCAAGAGGAGATGGAAGTTTGATGGGTGTCACATGTTGTCCCCTAGCGTACATCACAGGGCCTTCAATATATATTGATTAAACCAATGAATACTGAATGAACAATGGATGAATGGATGGATGGCCTACATTTAATAGAAAGTATTATAGTAGGACATTTTGAGGAGATTTTCTGAAAGGCGAAAGGGACCAGAAACTGTTGGCTCACAGAATGAGGCACACCTGAGCTGTTGTGTGTGTGCTGGTGAGAGGAGAAAAAAATCTAAGGAACCAGTGGAGGGGAGCAGGTCTCACTGACTAACATTTTCAAGTATTTTCAGAGCTGCCGCATAGACAGGGCTGGTCTCTGCTGAAGCAGAAAAAATACCTATCACCAGCAGGGGGTTATCAAGAGATCATTTCTGGTCCTGCAAGAGCAGACCAGCTGCGGGCACTGTGCCTGGTGGTGTCAGGTGACTCGGCTAAACTCTCCACCCGCATTTGCTCATGATCATCACCACTGCTTTATGCAAGATGTAAGACCCATTTTCCAGGTGAGGAAACAAAGTCTCCTAGCTTCCAAGGGACTCATATGGATCACATAATGGCTAAGGTGGGGCTTTGACTCTCACCTGACCCTGTGAACCCACAGACTTGAGAAATTTCCCAACCACCTTTGCACACGGGCTTCCTGCACAGAGCAACCATCAACAGTATGCTGGTTCCTCCACGGCTGGCTGCCAGGGAGGAGCTGATTTTGCATGTTCTTCACAGCTGCATCTGCAAAGAAGGCTATGAAGGGGATGGAATTTTCTGTTCCAAGAAGGACCCTTGCATGGGATCAACTCCTGGAGGTTGTAGTCACAATGTGAGTGCTGGTCTTCATTTCCTAGTCACCTGTTCTTTGTGCTTCATTTTTAAAAGAAATCCTTGGAAGACAGACATCCCAAAAGCAATGCCTGATCACTTTTAATGTGCACAAAGCATCTGAATTTTACTCTTTATTGGATTTTTTAAAACAGAGTATACGAAGGGGCTGGAGAGATGACTCAGCAGTTGAGGGCACTGGCTGCTCTGCAGAGGACCCAGGATTCAGTTCCCAGCACCCACATGACAGTTAACAACACATAACTCTGATTCCAAGGGATCCAACACGTTCTTCTAGCCTCAATTGGCATTGGATAACATGTATGCACTTACATACATGCAAGCAAAACACTTGTACACACAAAAAAATAACATTTAAATAGCATACAAAGAAATGGATTTCATTAGGGTATTTTCACACATTTTGTGTTTGTTGATCATCCATCCCCCTACCCCTCCCCTCTGGTTCTCTTCCTCCTTCTGTTTTCATGTCTCATGTATTCTATTAACCTATTCCATCTACTTAAGACCTCTTTTCCCCTCTCACGGTCCCTTTCTAGATTCATTACACACACACACACACACACATACACACAATCTAGGATCCACATATGAAAGAAAACATGGTATCTGTCTTTTCTAACTGGATTTTAGAGACTACCTAATGGATACTATCTATTAGCCTCCCTGAATCCAGACATGCAGGGAGCTTGGGGCTTTTAACAAATACAGTACATGAATCAGATGTTGAGATCAATAATATGACTCTTGATTCAAACTTCTCAGCTTACAAGGACTCATTGTATCTGATCTCACCTGCTCCTCCAACCAGCCCAGTGAGGTAGCTATCGCTATCCCTATTCCCAGACTTAGGGAAATTAAGTAACTTGCTTAAGTTCTGTTATTAGTGTAACCATCACTGGCCACTGCTGTCACTAGTACCTTTCCAATCTTGCCACCACCTTCTGATCCTAGTCATCTTCATTCTTTACCCACTGTCAACAGTTGGTCTCCTTGCTTCCTCTCTAACTACCCACATTATATGATCGACCATATTTTGTGGTCTGCCACATGTGGCCAGAGTGGCTTGAAGCAAATCATATCATTTCTTCTAGGCTTAAACCCCTTCATGAACTTCACCTGGGTCTGGGGATGAAATCTATACACAAATGCGGGTCCTGCTCACCAGATTCCCTTTGGCTGAGTCCCACCCACTTAAAACCACCCCATCTCAACAACTTCTGGACACGTATCCTTCCACACCATCCTTCAGCCTCCTATGATGAGCACCCTGTTTTTGTTGCTCATCCCATTGCTGCAACAAAATACCTGACAAAAGCAACTTAGGAGTAAAGGGGGGCAGGTATTTTTAGCTCACAGTTCAAGCGTACAGTCCATGGTGGGTAAGTCAGGACAACAGGAGTGTGAGGCTGCCAGTCACATTGTACTCACAGGAAGGAGAGAGATGACTACTGGTACTCAGCTTACTTTCTCCTTTTTGTTTAGTCCAGGACCCCAGCCCATAAGATGGTGCCATCCACATTTAAAGTGGATCTTCTCACCTCAAGTTAACCTAACCTAGAAATTCCCTCATAGACATGCCCAGAGGTTTGTCTCCTAGGGCATCCTAGACACTGTCAAGCTAACAATATTAACCATCACATCCCAGAACAAGAGTTGGGATAGCAGTGAGATCAGACCCCAACATCAAAGAACCCTGAATCCATGCTTCTCTCTCTGTAGCCATGTGACTTTAGGAACACCTGGTTTTTCCTTTTTTTCTTTCTTTTTTTAGTCTTTTTTAAGACAGGGTTTCCTTGTAGCCCCAGCTGGCCAGGAACTCACTATGTAGACCAGGCTGGCCTTGAGCTCACAGAGATCCTCCTGCCTCCCGGGTGCTGGGATTAAAGGCATGTGCCACCACACCCGACTAAGGGAACACCTGTTTTTTCGCCTGTAAAATAAAGGTAGTAATTCCTCCAGATGATCACTTACTCCTATCAATCAATAAAAGCAGTCCCTGGCTCAATCAGCAACTCAGTACTGTCAGTGGTGGTAGCCATTAGCTGGCCAGATCCAAGCAAGTTGGATAACATGTATGCACTTACATACATGCAAGCAAAACACTTGTACACACAAAAAAATAACATTTAAATAGCATACAAAGAAATGGAGGGATCCAACACGTTCTTCTAGCCTCAATTGGCATTGGATAACATGTATGCACTTACATACATGCAAGCAAAACACTTGTACACAAAAAAAAAAAATAACATTTAAATAGCATACAAAGAAATGAATTTCATTAGGGTATTTTCACACATTTTGTGTTTGTTGATCATCCATCCCCCTACCCCTCCCCTCTGGTTCTCTTCCTCCTTCTGTTTTCATGTCTCATGTATTCTATTAACCTATTCCATCTACTTAAGACCTCTTTTCCCCTCTCACGGTCCCTTTCTAGATTCATTACACACACACACACACACACATACACACAATCTAGGATCCACATATGAAAGAAAACATGGTATCTGTCTTTTCTAACTGGATTTTAGAGACTACCTAATGGATACTATCTATTAGCCTCCCTGAATCCAGACATGCAGGGAGCTTGGGGCTTTTAACAAATACAGTACATGAATCAGATGTTGAGATCAATAATATGACTCTTGATTCAAACTTCTCAGCTTACAAGGACTCATTGTATCTGATCTCACCTGCTCCTCCAACCAGCCCAGTGAGGTAGCTATCGCTATCCCTATTCCCAGACTTAGGGAAATTAAGTAACTTGCTTAAGTTCTGTTATTAGTGTAACCATCACTGGCCACTGCTGTCACTAGTACCTTTCCAATCTTGCCACCACCTTCTGATCCTAGTCATCTTCATTCTTTACCCACTGTCAACAGTTGGTCTCCTTGCTTCCTCTCTAACTACCCACATTATATGATCGACCATATTTTGTGGTCTGCCACATGTGGCCAGAGTGGCTTGAAGCAAATCATATCATTTCTTCTAGGCTTAAACCCCTTCATGAACTTCACCTGGGTCTGGGGATGAAATCTATACACAAATGCGGGTCCTGCTCACCAGATTCCCTTTGGCTGAGTCCCACCCACTTAAAACCACCCCATCTCAACAACTTCTGGACACGTATCCTTCCACACCATCCTTCAGCCTCCTATGATGAGCATCCTGTTTTTGTTGCTCATCCCATTGCTGCAACAAAATACCTGACAAAAGCAACTTAGGAGTAAAGGGGGGCAGGTATTTTTAGCTCACAGTTCAAGCGTACAGTCCATGGTGGGTAAGTCATGACAACAGGAGTGTGAGGCTGCCAGTCACATTGTACTCACAGTCAGGAAGGAGAGAGATGACTACTGGTACTCAGCTTACTTTCTCCTTTTTGTTTAGTCCAGGACCCCAGCCCATAAGATGGTGCCATCCACATTTAAAGTGGATCTTCTCACCTCAAGTTAACCTAACCTAGAAATTCCCTCATAGACATGCCCAGAGGTTTGTCTCCTAGGGCATCCTAGACACTGTCAAGCTAACAATATTAACCATCACATCCCAGAACAAGAGTTGGGATAGCAGTGAGATCAGACCCCAACATCAAAGAACCCTGAATCCATGCTTCTCTCTCTGTAGCCATGTGACTTTAGGAACACCTGGTTTTTCCTTTTTTTCTTTCTTTTTTTAGTCTTTTTTAAGACAGGGTTTCCTTGTAGCCCCAGCTGGCCAGGAACTCACTATGTAGACCAGGCTGGCCTTGAGCTCACAGAGATCCTCCTGCCTCCCGGGTGCTGGGATTAAAGGCATGTGCCGCCACACCCGACTAAGGGAATACCTGTTTTTTCGCCTATAAAATAAAGGTAGTAATTCCTCCAGATGATCGCTTACTCCTATCAATCAATAAAAGCAGTCCCTGGCTCAATCAGCAATTCAGTACTGTCAGTGGTGGTAGCCATTAGCTGGCCAGATCCAAGCAATTTTGTTCTCTAAATCATCTAGTAGTTTTACTGACATTCATACAAATAAGCATTTCAATCATTTCTATTGTGCTATAAAATATATATTTCTAGAACATTCTTCCAGATCCTTTCTGACTTTGGGTCCCATGGTGGGGCTGTGATTTCAGGGGTCTTGATTTTGTTCTTCCTACAGGCAGAATGCATCCAAACTGGCACAGGGACATACAGCTGTGTGTGCCAACAGGGCTGGACAGGAAATGGAAAAGACTGTGTAGAGATCAACAACTGTCTGCTGCGTGGCATGGGTGGCTGCCATGATAATGCCACCTGCTTGTACATAGGCCCCGGGCAGGTAGGTAACCTGGGAAAGAAATCAAAGAGGAAGCAGAGTCCCTACTGTAACTTTTTTGTCCATAGCCATGGAAGTTCTTTGGCTGGAAGTTACTGCAGCTTTTTACTATCATTGGGGCAGGGAGGATGAAATCTGTGACACAGATGTCATTAGGATCCCACCTTACCAAAGAGAAACTGAGGCACTAAGAGGTTAGAGATTTATTCAGTGGCATAGAAAACCAAACATGACTCACAAGCCAGAATCCAGAGTTGCCTTCTTAGTCATCCCCATGGGTCGTGCTTCACATATCTGGGACACCCTGTAACCCAATTTGACATGGCTTCATTGAAATGAAGACCACGGCAAAGAGGCTACCGCTTGGGATTTAATGAGTTGCAGGGGAGGTGATACCAACTGCATAAGACTGTGGCCATGGAAATGATAGGTCACCAGTCCCCATCCATCCCACCTGCTCCCACCTCTCCCCAGAAACAGTGTGAACTGAGGTATTCCATAAGGTAAGGGGACACAGGCATAGAAGATGCAAACAGGATTTTAAATTCACACACACACACACACACACACACACACACACAAACATCTTTTGGACCGTGATACAGTTTTTCACTTTGGTGTTCTAAAGCTGGACTGTTGTTAAGCTTTCATTATTTTGTTGAGAAATTCATTTTCTCCATGAAGTTAAGCACACTATATAGACTAATTCTGTTCACCATGATACTTCCCAGGCTTCCATCAGAAGCCTTCCAGACCTTGGACCTCACATTTCCTTGCATGTGTTAGCAACTGGGAAAACACAGAGTTTGAACGATACTTGATGAGATCTTAAACCCAGCACGTTTGTTCTAGGGAAGAATTCACCCAACCAATGAAGGTCAGGTCTGATTAAGGTATCAGTGAAGGAGGTCTCTAGGAGCCTACGATGGTGCCCCAGCTCCTTTCTCTTCCTGTCTCCAGGATTGAGGGATTGAGCATTTGTCTTGTGGAACCAACAGAGGACTGACACTTGGGGTGCGATAAATGGGTGGCTAGCCCTTAGAAGGACAACCCAGGGACTCATAGCTACCAAATAAAAAGATCTTCTTAGAAGCCTTTCCAGTGAGATCCCCGGGGGCAGCTAAAAGGTGGTGAACATGATTAGGAGAAAGCGTGGAAGGGAATGGGGCAGCACAGGCAAGAACATGCACAATACCATCCAGCCCACCTCCCTTTCCTGAAAACAGAGGTTAAAGCACCAGCCCAGACAACCCTCCTGGCTAATGTCTGTTTATATGTAGCTGAGGGTCCACCGTGTTAATAGAACACAGTGGGTACTGCTCAAAGAGTGACAACTGCGGGTGGGAAAGGCATAAGGATATATTTGTTTCACAGGGACATCTAGTTAAAACAGAAAACACAGTGATCCGTGCATTCCTGGTGAGAGTGAAAAATAGCATGGCCGTGGACAATAAAATAACATCTCTCCAGGAAATTAAAAACAGAATTGCCATATGATCCAGTAATTCGACTTCTAGATATATCCCCATATATCCCCCCAATTAAAAGCAGAGACTCCAAGAGATATTTGTATAATCATATTCACAGCAGCAGTTTTCACACTAATCAAAAGTGGATAAAAACCAACCGTCAGTCAGCAGATGAATGGAGAAAGTGTTACATGCACATGAGATGCAGCCTCAGTCAGCCTTGGGAAGGAAGGGAGTTCTGACAACAAGCTACTGTCTGGATGAACTTAAAGACATTACACTAAATAAGGAACAAATATCACTGATTCAGCTTATATGAGGTTCCTATAGCAATCCAATTCATAAAGATGGAAAGTAGAATAGCACTTGCTAGGGGCTAGGGGAGGGGAATGGAGTTATTTTATGAGCATGACATTTCTGTTTGGGAAGATGAGGAAGGTTCTAGAGATATGGTAGTGATAGTTGAACAACAATGTGAGGGTGCTTACTACTACTGAACTGTCTACTTGAAAATGGTTACAATGCTAAGTTTCATCAGATATATTTTACCATAATTTTTTTGGCTTTACCTTTTTTAAAAAAATTTTTATTGATTTTTTTGTGTATTTCATACAGAAATCATCTTTATACCCCCTTCCCCATTGGCACCCTCCCAAAGCCCCCCCCCGACTGGAGTTCATACATTCTGTCATTTGTGTTAAGGTCTATCATGTCAAGTTAAGTATCCCCAGATATCCCTCAGTACAATTTCTTCCCCTGGGATCTAGTCAACCTATCTAGAGTCCCTCCCTTTAAGAAGGTCAGTTCTTCCTCACTCAGCAGAAATCAGCTGCCAATAATTCTTCGACTAAGATTGGGACCTGCTGTTCATTTCCACAGTTCTGTGCTGGGCTTTTGTTTGCTTAAGTTTGCATGGATCTTGTGTGTGCTGAAGCTATTGTTGTAGGTTTGTATGAGAAGGGTCCCAGGTGCCTGTAGGACTATTTCTATATAGTCGTGCACCTCCTCCCTGGCTCTTACAATCTTCCTGCCTCCTCTTCCTTAATGGTCCCTAGGCTCTGGGTGGGTGGGTTTTAATATAGGAGTCCTGTCCAAGGACCCAAACTCTGCAGACTCCTTTTTTTTTAACCACTACCTCCCCTCCAACATCCCCCTCCCCGAAGAGGTAACCCTAAAATATTTTAAGGATTAGATACAAGATCCCAAATACTTTTGACATTTTGACATTTTTTTGCCTTTGGAACAGAGTGTGTTGCTAACAGGCCCAAGGACATTTTGACTTTTAGCCCAGAAACTGGCTACATTTCTTTGGGGTCTCTTTACCCTAACTGCCTAGCCAATTCCTACCTCTATTCTTATCACACTATCCTCTGAAGGGGTTACCCCAATTACCACTAGGGAATAGGGACACAGACTGCTCTGGCTTCTTCCGTGCTGTACAGGGATGCAGGGTGAGGTAATTGGAGTACCCCTTCAGTGGGTCTATCTAAAAGACTCCCAAATTGCATAACTCTTGTCTCTAAGGGGAAAAGAAAGTCCTTGAATCATAAATAGGAGATGTGAAGAAGTAAAGGCAAGAGTAATTAGCATTACAAGTTCTAGACAGGGAACTAGAAAAAAGAGCAGGGCAATTTTCAAATGTTCATATAAGACTCCATTGGAGTTTCTTGACAAGGGCTTCCAAAAGACCCAGATTTGAATCCCAGCACCCACATGGCAGCTAACAACTGTCTGTAACTCCAGTCCCAGGGTATCTGACAGCCTCTTCTGACCTCCATGGGCATTGCTGGACACGGGTGCACTTACCTACATGCAGGCAATACACGCATACACATAAAATAAAGAAATAAAATTTTACCATAATTTTTGTGGAGAAAAAACAACAAAACCAATTAAAGTCCCAAAAGAAAATGGTACATTTTGGTTTATACAACTATAAAGTCTATATGCAGATGCCACCATAAGTACAACATGATCCAGGGACCAGAAGGTGGCACAAAGAAGTCTGTCTGGCCCCAGCTTCTGGCCAGGCTCCTGGGTGAGGAGATACCCTCCATCAGCTTCAACCTTACCCCTGCTTTCTGTTAAGCACAGTAGAATACATTTTATGATAATTTCCACCAAAAACCTAGGACTCATTCTCTCTTGGTCCATATTGAATGCTGTCACAGCCTTCCACATTCCCATCAGCACCTGCTCACAATTATTGAAATCAGGTCCCATGGCCAGGCAGATGAAAGGCAGGGAAAGTCAATGTGAATCCCTGAGCTTGGAGCACTTAATTGTAGTTTATTATATAGACAAGAAGAGGGAGTAGTGGTGATCCCAAAGCCAAATGGGTACATTTTCCAGAAAGAGAGAAAGAGCAGATACTGGGCAAACAGAATAAAACAGATGTTCACACGGGCATTCATACACCTCTCATTTGTCCAATTCTCGGGTGCCACTAAGCTGGGTGCTGGGGATAAGTAATATCCAGGGCCAGGGCCCATAGGCAGTCCTGGAGAAATTATCTACCACAGGGTGACAGACTGACATAAACGACATCATGATAAACATTTTAAAACATATGCAGCCTGAACATCCATGGTCTGTTACTCCAAGGTGTCTAGTCACTGCTGCCCTATTTACACATCTGATTTCTCTGACATCAGTGCCTGCTCATGGGTTTAGAGTAAATGAGCTTTAAAATGAGTCCCAGGAGCCTAATCCTGGAAGAGCTCACTGCAGTCTCACAGCTCGCCAAGGCATTTAGTAGGTGATTACATCCATGTTTAAGTCCTTTGTGTTGTCAGATTGCATTTGAAAAAAGAAAAACAAAAATATATTGGTTTTGTACTCATCTTGGTATCTGTACTCATTTTCTATGGCTGCCATAACAAAAGTATCACTAATTGGATGGCAGAGAAAAGCCAGCACATATTGTCTCAGTCTGGAGGCCTAAGTTCAAGATGTCTGCAGGGTGTCTCCTCTGAGGGCTGTGAGGGAGAACCTGCCCCTTGCTTCTCCCCTAACCTTGGGTGGTCTGTTGTCCACCTTTGGTGGAGATACATCATCTGACCTCCAGCCTCATCTTCCCATGTCAGTCTCTCGGTGCACATGTCCCATTTTCATCTTTTTATAGGACACTATTCATATGCGATTCAGGGTCCACCTTACTCCAGTGACTTCATCTTAACTAACCACATAATAATACTGTTTCTAAGTAGAGTTACATCTTGGGGTACTGGAGGTCAGGGCTTCAAGACATGAATTTGGGATTGGGGGCACACTTCAACCTATACAGTGTCTGTCTCTGCTCTGCTCCATCTCCTTTCCTGAAGACAAATATGAAAAGTGCTCTGATGGGGAGATGGAGGAAGGGAAGGGTCTCTAAGACATATGTAAGAAGTCAAATGGACCCCATTCTAGGACTGTCATCACTTAGCTGTAGTTGGCTTGAAATGTTTTAGATGCACCAAATAGATACTAACTTTAATTACTATGAATGCTGTTTCTAAAAGAGAAGCCATGTTTGGGTCAAAAATGCTAAGAAATATATTGGAGAATGTGGATGTGCTGCCCCAATACCAGGCAGAGGAAATTAAGTTCCTTGTCGATGAGGTTGGACTATAACATGCACATTTGTGTGTGTGTTCTTCTGTGCACGATACATTTGTATATAAAATATACACATTTGCCTTATAAAGCTCATGTGGCAGGTAATACTTTTAAGGATAAAATTCATAAAATAGAAGTTCTATTCACTTCTTCCCACAACCTAATAGATTGTCTTATGTCACCCACTACTGCAGTGTATGTGTGTGTGTATATGTGTGTGTGTATGTGTGTGTTTCTAACTCCATCCTTTAAAGAAGGTTCTTAGTTGAGAATTTCATACAATGCACTTGGATCATAATCACCCCTCTCCCCTACTCCACCAGGTCCATCCCCATCCTTCTCTACACATTCAACTTTGTGCCTGCATTTTTTCAAACCCATAAAGTCCTGTTTGTGATACCCACATACTCTCCCATGTGGGGCCAACCACTAGAGTGTGATCCACCTACAAGGACCTTAAAGAAAACCAATCTCCCTCTTCCCATCAGCTGTCAATGGCCAACATCCCCTCAGCTAGTGGTGGGACATTGTACCTACCTCCCCTACCCTCTCCCTGCTGGGATTTTGTCAGGCTTGAGATTACACAGATCTTCTGCATGCTTTCACAACCACTGTGAGTTCGCATGTGCAACTGCCATGTTGTGTCCGGAAAACACTGTTTTGACCCTTCTCCAGCCAAGCACATACACTTCCTCACCTCTGTTCACTTCTGACATTCTCCCTCCATTTAAATGCCCAAGACCCAGTGGTATTCCACTTCTAGAAGAATATCCCAGTGCACTCCAACCCTCTAAACAGTCCATTCCTATAAGCACCTCACACGCCATGACTCTACAAAATTTCTTATGTCTTATTTCCCCATGTTTAAGGCTAGACCTTTCTTGTTTGTCTTTTAATGTACTTATATTTGGTTTTCCTCTAGATTCATTGTTGGTTTTATAATAGTTCTAGAACATGTTTTATTTAAATCAATTGAAGAAATTACTCCTTCTCAAATTATGTTTTAAATGTCGGGCTTTGCATGATCATTGAAAACAGCCGGGAAAATAATAAAGTGGGGAGAAAACTGTGCTGGTGTTTTTCCTTCAGTCTCTCTCAGGTCCAGGTTGTTAGTTTCCTTTACACTGTGGTAACCGACTTCAGCTCCAGTGGTTCCTTGCCCACTTGACACAAATATTTTCCCATTTTGTCGTACAGCCCACTGCCGTCATCACACCTTACTAATTAGCTGCAGGCTCAGGGCCACTGCTTCTGCCCAAGGGACAAGTGCAAGCCGGAATGCAGCCTGCAGCCTGCACCCTGCTCACCAGCATACACCACAGTAGGGGGGCCTAAACCCTCACAGAGGACAGGCACTGCCTACCTGCATGAAGATGCTACAGCTGCTGAGCTGGGTGCTGTGGCTTGTCTGTGAAGAAGTAGTGACTTAATCAAATTCATCTATCTGGGGAGGCATTATCTACATTGAGCAGTGTCTGTTAGGCTAGCAATAGCCACATGCATAGATCTCCACCAAGTGGATGCCCCATGGCTTGCTCAACCTTTCTCTGTAGGTATGGGGCCAACTTTTCCAGCCTGATGGCCTTTAGGATCTAATCTCTCTCTGAGACTACCTCTATAGACCTTTGTAAGGTAAGAATTCAAAATGAAAGTACCAAGGAACTGTCAGATTGGGCAACATAACCTAGACTGTGTAAACGAATAGCTTTGGAATCGAAGTCTCTCTTTAGAAGGGTTGAACAACTGTAGTTTCCATAGTTTGCTTTTCAGTGCAACTGAGTGCAAGGCTTGGAGAACACTTGCTTCAGTGATCTCTTTCTTGTCTTTGGAATTACAGAATGAATGTGAGTGCAAGAAAGGGTTTCGAGGAAATGGGATTGACTGTGACCCAATCATTTCATGCTTGGAACAAACCGAGAAATGTCATCCACTGGTAAGTCACTTGATGTTTTCTTCAATACTAAACACATAAAAATTCTTAAGAACAAAAATGAGGTCGTGTTAGCTGCTTCTTGTGACTATCACAAAATACCTGAGAAAACAAGTTAAAGGAAGAAGGGTTTACTTTGGATTATGATTTCAGAGGTTTCTATCCATGATCACTTGACTTCAGTGTGTCTTGGCTTGTGTGTGTGTGTGAGGCAGAGCATCATGGTAGAGTATGTGATGGAGCAAAGTGGCTCACCTCATAGCAAACAGGAGCCAGAGAGCCAGAGAAGACAGGGTTGGAAACAAGATATGGTCCATGGGCATGCATTCAGTGTCCTACTTTCTCCAATCTCTGAAAATTTCCACCACATCCCAATGATGTCATTAAATTTTAAACCCATCAGTGGAGTCATCCATTGGTTAAGTCAGAGTCCTCATGATCCGCTCATTTCCCAAAGCCTCACCTCTGTGCATGCTGCAGAGGGACCAAGTCTCTAACACACTGGTGTTTTGGGAAGACACTTCATACTCAAATCATAATGGATATTTCTTATCTGAGCCTAGCTGTGAGAAAATCTCTCTCACGTCCAAATGAGTCCCTAAGCAAAATGAGAGCTATTACTATTTTCACTCCATTTCAAACCTTGGAAGAAACAACATAGGCTCACCATATAAATACAGGACACCAGTTGGTTTTAAATCTCAGATACATAAAGAGTAAGTTTTCAGAAGTTAAGCGTGCTCAAAACATGACACAAAATGAGCTTATACTAAAATATATTCATCTTTTCTGAAAATAAAATTTAACTCTCCTGGATTCCTTCCTTTGCTAAATCTGGCAGGGATAAAAGGAAAGAGCCTTGCTATGACTAAAAGCTGCAGGCGGGAACATCCTGTTACAACACTGGAGGGTCTATGGGTTACATCCACCATCTTTCAGTCCTGAATTTGCAGGATATTTTCCTTGTGGTGTGGTGGGGTCAAACCCAGGGCCCTGTACACACTGGGCAAGTGCTCTACCACTGAACTATATATTCCCAGCTCTGAATATGGAGTTCTTATCTTAGATACATAAAGGCTACTGTCTCACAGATAGATATGAGTCAGGCCTAACACTTTATGGAAAAGCAAGCCATTTCCTCCATCTTTGCTTTCTTAGGCTACCTGCCAGTCTGCTTCTGGTATCTGGAGTTGTGTTTGTCAAGAGGGCTATGAAGGGAATGGTCTCCTGTGCTATGGAAATGCAGCCATGGTAAGTCCTGAAGGAGGACCTCGAGTGCAAAGTCATGAAGAGAGCCCCCAGCAGGAAAATGAACTGCTCAGCTAAGATAGATGCCTTAGATCTACAGACCTGATGTCTATGAGATGTTACATGAAGCCAACTATTTCTTGCAGATACCATGCACGTTTGATGGGTTACTCATTTTCATTTTTTATTCTTTTTTAAAAGTTTTTATTTATTTTTATTTAATCTGTATAAGTATTTTGCCTGCATGTATAAAAGTGCAACAATGTGTGCAATGCCCACAGAGGCCAGAAGAGGGTGTCAGATCACCTGGAACTGGAGTTACAGATGGTTACTAGCCATCATGTGGGTGCTGGGTCATTCATTTTCATAGGCTGCCATGGCTAACTTTTATTTGGTGCCTTCTGTACACCAAGCAGTCCTGACTTTTGTTTGCCAATCTACCTGTTTCACACACTTACCAAATGAGCAGTTAATCTCTCCTCTGCTAAGATGGCTTCCCGAGCTCCTCATCAGAAGTCTCATGCCTCCTATGAGTACCCAGAACAACCAGAGCTTGTCTCTATCAGGAGTGTGTGTGTGTATGTGTGTGCGTGTGCGCGCGTGCGCATGCGTGTGTGCACGTGCACACACAAACACCTTCTGTGAACCAGGCATCTTATAAGGTCCTTCATGTAACAGCATCTCATTTAAACCTCACAGTTATCTGAGGTTAACGCTATTATGATGCCCATTCTACAAGTAAGGAAACTGAGGCTAACCACACATACTTACCAGAGGTGTCAGTAGCTGTTTAAGTGCAGGGCCCAAAACTTAATCACTAGTATAGATTATTCTGCTCATACAGTATGGATCACACCCAGCTGTCACTGCCTGTCCATCTATCTCCTCCAGCACTGGACTGTAAACTCAAGGGGAAAGATCTTCACCTTATTCTTAGGTCACTCACATTTAAACAGTTGTCAAAATGAGAAACAAAGTAAACTTTGACAAATTAGACAAATTTTTCTTATCACTTATTTTTTTGTTTTGTTCACAGTTTGATTCTTGTTCTTCCTCGCCACTGAAATCACTGATCTGGCAATCCCCCCCCCAAACCTGCAGCCTCCAAAACCAAAAGCCTCTCCAGGGCACTGCTGGGGCATTGTGTGCATGCACAGACATACACACACACACACACACACACACACACACACACTGCTGCATTCAGGGAAGGTCCCACCTTCCTTTCTCTTGGAACTTCTACTTACTGCATCAAGCTAAGGAGCTACCCTGTACCCTGTCCTGGAGCTTGGATTCCCCATAGGCTGTTCATGTCCTAAAACCCTCTAGTTCCACTTTCCCCACATCCCTGTCCTTCCACAGAAGGAAACAAGCTGAAGTTTGAAGCTTCAGCCTGACCCTACAGAGTGTCCACCCATCTCCATTCATTTTTCTCCCAGGAAGCTTTCTCTAGGCCATGGCTGGGCCAAAGTGAAACCCCAGGCAATTTTATCCCATGTGCCAAGCCAGTGCTCCACACTGGGCCTGACTTGAGGCTGTTTGCTGAGCTCTGGGACCTCCCTTGGGGCCGGGGTGTTTGTGTTGTTACAAGCTAAATTTCTGATTTGAAAGAACTTCAGTTGTTTCACTTGGAGAAGCTGGAGTTAATTCTTTACCTCAGTCTGACAGGCATGCCCAACCTGTGGCTCCTGTAGCATGAAAATTCAGCTAATTGGGGTACATACCAGCATGGGGAAGCAGGAGGAGGGGAGAGCAGTAGAGTTTGGAGGGCAAGCAGCAGGCTCCCCAGAGCCACACTGAGATGAGGTTCTTCATTCCCCCTTCTCTGTGTTCTCTCTTGCCTCTCCTGCCCTCTCACGAAATGAATAAGGAATTGTCGTTTCTCTCCGAGGGAGCTATATTTAACCAGTGGATACATGTGAGTACCTACATTTGCAATTTAGCATTGACAACATATATCGTTATAGAAATTTGGAATGTGTGCAACAGAAGACTAGAAATGGGTCAAGTCAGGAGGGAGAGGGGATGGACTTGAACAGTGGCTCCCCACCATCTACACTTTAGAATCACGAAGGGCACCCAGCCACATTTGGTAAGTAAGAGGCTTTCCCTGGACACCAATACTAACACGTAGCCAGGATTTGGAATTTCTGGTCCAGGGTAAATAGTCAACTTTTGACTAATTCAAGTATATAGAAAGAAAATTGTCCATTACATAGGTGTTTTTTAAAGACAATTCATGCCATAATTCACCAAGATCTGGACTTAGAGCTAACATTGGGGGTGCTTTAGCATACCCAGAACTTGCCCTTCAGCCCTGGAAAATGTAACAAAGAATCATGTCCCACCCAGCCTGGTTGTCTGAATCTCTGTCATCTTTGACTGAATAGACCAAGGTGTCCAAGCTAACCAGTCATGCGACAGATCATCCCCTTTAAGCATGTGCCAAAATAGGTCTTGCTTACTCACACCCACTCAGAAAACAGTTCCCTGTATGTTGCAGAAAATTCCAAAATGAATGAGTCTCAAAAGTATCAGCCAATGGTTGGGTGGCCCTGGGGTAGAAAAACTACCATATTCCCAGTATCCCTGGAATTACATCATCTGGGAAGCCATCATCTCTGCCAAGCATGTGAGTCAGGCCTGCTAGTCCTCTAACAATACATAGGTCACTTTCTTTTCCTCCTGTGATTCAGAATGCTTCCCTTCAACCCATGCTGTCTACCACCTTGAATCTCACTGTCCTCGTGCCTTCCCAACAAGCCATTGAGGACATGGACCGAGACGAAAAAGCCTTCTGGTTGTCATCAAACAATATTCCAGCCCTAATAAAGTGGGTATTATTTACCTAATTCCCCACACCATCTGGGTGGTATCTGTGTGAACATCCCTTAGAAGTTCAGCATAGAGAAGCCACATGGTCCCTCACAGATAGGGAATGGAACATGTCCTAGGATTCCCTGAACACCCTCCCTGGGATAGGAATAGTTAGCAGATAACAGCCAACTCTGTACTAAGCACTGTGCTCTGCATATTAATTCAGTTAATCCTCCCAACACCTCTAATATACATGTTACAATTGTTCCCATTCAACAGATGTGAAAGTGAAGCACAGGGTGGTTAAATAATTAATTCCAGGCAAGACCAACTACTCTGTGGAAGAATATGAAGTGTGAATATGGCAGACCGGCCCCAGAGTTTATTCTCCTAACTGTTCAAATAATACTGACTCATGCATTGATTTAATTGTGACCCTTATGACCTGGTGTTTTAGATACCACATGCAGCTAGGCACATATAGAGTGGCGGATCTGCAGACCCTGTCATCCTCTGACATGCTGGCAACATCTTTGCAGGGCAGCTTCCTTCACCTGGACAAGGCAGGCGAGGTAAGAACGCTCTTGTCTGGTTCTTCATTTGGAGCGTGGGGCCTTTACTCATGTTATACTTTCCAAATTTTGGTGATGTTGTGAATTTCCAGATATGTGCACAGACTAGAACCCCGTGTGAGAATCACCCAGTTGCAACAATGATCTCTCTCTCTCTCTCTCTCTCTCTCTCTCTCACACACACACACACACACACACACACACACACACACACACACTTGGGTGGAGGGAGAAGGAGAAAGAGAGAGAGAGAGAGAACTATAGCAATGTATTACTTTTCTTACTGTTGTGATCAAATACCTGAGAAAAGCAACTCAGGGTTTATTTTGGCTCACAGTTTGAGGGAACAGTCTATCATGGCAGGGAAGCTATGGTGACAGGACCTTGAAGCAGCTGGTCACATCACATCTGTAGTCAGGAAGGAGAGAGATGAATGCTGCTGTTCAGTCTCATCTTTCCCTTTACATTCAGTCCATGGCATGATACCACCACATGTGTGGTGGGTCTTCCCACCTCCATTAACTCAATCTAGAAACTCCCTAATAGACATGCCCACAGGCTTATTTCCATGATGATTCTAAATCCCATCAAGTTGACAAGCAGTGATCCAAAATGTAGTTACATTCCCACTGGTGGGCCAGCCAAGCTCCTGACAGACACAGCCTGACTCAGAAAGGAGAGAGGGTGGTCAATACCACAACTTTAATTTTGGTGTGTAGTTAACTAGGAACAACTGACCTCTTAATGGAATCATTACAGTTAACTGAACTTCATAGCAAGTTAGCCAGACCACAAACCTATATGGTACACCTGCTCTGAACAGGCATGGAACTTGGTGCTGGGTACAGAGCAGTGGTGAGGGAAGAGCTGCCAGACTGTCTGGCACTCCCAGAGTGTTAAGGACTGATTCCAACCAGGGGAAGTCCGGCTGTTTGGCTGTCAGGAGCAGGGTGCCAACGCTCTTTCCGAGAATTGCACCAAGTGAAAGAAAAGACTGGGGGTCTACCAGGCACTGAGGACTGCTGTGTCGTGGTTTATGAGCCACAGGCAGAAACATCTGAGAATCACTGCTCAAAAACTTCCCAGCTTGCTCTGTGAGTATGTGAGTACCAGGAAAAGGATCCTTTGAGCTGAGCCTAAGCATGTGGTTCAGCAGGTAAATTATTTTAGAAACCGGAAAATCTTTACACGTGATCCCATGGTACATTTTATAAAATTGACAATTCCAGTGACACTCGTGTTAGTTTTTGAGTGCTATTTTTCTGAATTAAGTAAAAATTTGGATAAAGATAGTGGGTACAAAGTCACAGCTAGCTAGGAGGAATACCTTCCGTGGACTATTGCACAGAGGGTATTTATGGTTAACAATACTATAGCATATAAATCAAAAGCCGAACCAGGCTTGGGGCTACAGGCCTGTAATACCAGCTACGTGGGAGGCTGAGGCAGGATTACAAGTTCAGGGTCTCCCAGAATACAGAATGAGTTCAAGGACAGCCTGAACAACTTAATGGATTCCCTGTCTCAAAATAAAATAAGTAAAAAGAGGTCTAGGAATACATGGTAGAACTCGATGGTAGAGTGCTTGCCTGACATGTATGAGGCCCTAGATTTAGCCCCCAGTGTCCCCAAATCAATCAATCCAATAGCAAAGCTAGAAGAAATTATTTGAATGCCGTCATCACAAAGAAATAAAAACTGGTTCTGATGACAGACAGTCCAAGTATCCTAAGCAGATCATCACACCATGTATACAATGTGCTGAATATCTCAGTGTGCCCAATAAATATGTGCACACATATTGTGAAGTGATTGCTACAGTAACACTAATCCATTGGTGTTTTGGACCACCAATTCTCCTGGCACCATTGACTAAACATCTGCCCTGAGCTAGCACATCACAGGTTCTATAGGCTCTTGATTGAAGTCCCTGAACTCGAGGAACAAACCATCAAATACACGTTTTTATGAGTTCATTCCTGTATAATACGAATGTCTCCCTTTAATCAAGAAATGTGTCAGGTAGCCTGAAATGTTTCCTCCATGACCTCTGCTCATGGAACTTGAGTGTTCAGGGAAAGGCAAGTCTCCTTCCTTACCCAAGATGCCAGGAACAGTTTCAAAGGGAGGTAATGGTGGAGAGGAGAGGAAACCAAAGGGACTGGAGCTCAGTTGCTCTTGGTTGGTGCTGGAAGGGTAGGCAGCTTGGGCTTTACTTAGCCCCCTTCCTCGTGCAATTAATAATCCTAAGAAGTGGTTGAATTCTTTCCAGGAGAGTTGGTTGTACTATCTGTATTAGTTTTCTGTGGCCACTATAACAGTGTACCACAGACTAGGAGGGAGCTTGAGGACAGTCTATTTCCTCATCGTTTCTGAAAGCTGAAAGTTCGAGATCAAGGTGTTGGCCTGAGTTGGTTCCCTGTGAAGGCAGCAAAGGAAGGAGATGCTTCACAAGCCTGCCCCCTCGGCTTGTCAATGTCCACGTTATTGATTGTATGGCATCCATCTCCTACAGCTCTGTGTAAATTTCCCCTGCTCGTAAGGACACCGGTCCTACTGGATTAGGACCACACTCATGACCTTATTTTTACTTGATTAACAGTCTAAAGATCCTATTCTCCATGTGGGGTCACAAACTGAGGTTATGACCACAACACTGCCTACAGTGCTTGCCAAACTGCCAGATCACTTTAATGAGCCTCACTTAGCACTTTTTAATGAACTAAAATAGAGTAGAATAGATCTAATTATCAGAATACATGCCACAAGGTAGAGGAAAGTTCTTTTCCTGTGTCTGTCTGTGATGTCTAAAGAATCATAATTGATGCATAATGGCCCAAAAGCATGAAAGCCACTTAGTGCTCAAAAGATGGGACCCCCTCCCCGAGGCAATTCAACCCCCAGGTGTGTTTACCTTCCCACTGTGGTTTGCACTTACAGAATATCACAATTCAGGGAGCATCTATTGTTGACGGTAACAATGCTGCCACAAATGGAGTGATACATATCATCAACAAGGTAAGAACCAATCCCACCCCACAAGCCCACTTTGTGATTTATCTTCCTATGTAGCATTGTTTGGAGCAAGTAAAAAGTACTTAGCCTTAATGTGAAATTAGCCTTACTGTGCTTCGTTATCTTTGTGGTAACCGCATAGAGGCTCTCTTCATTCAATCACCCAGCTATGTCTCATCCTGCATTTGCAGCAGGCGTTCTGTCACATGTGGTCACACATACATATTTTCTCTCCTGTGTATGAAAACATCTTAAAAGGGACATAAGCACCCCAGCACTGGAAATTCTGAAACCAAGAGTAAGAGGGAAGTATTGGTTATCAGTTCAGGCCCCTCTTTGCATTTTTGTGCCCTAAAAGGAAGGAGTGCAAGAAAACCTAAGAGGAAAAACATGGGAAGGCCCAGAAAGTAAGATTTAAATTTTCTTCCACATCCGATTCAATAAATATAGTATTAATAATATTAAATAGAAAAAGCATGGGAAATGGGGTTGCAAGCTAATCTATAACTCTCAGTTACCAAATTAGGATCTTCATTTAAAAGGAAAGTTGAAATTTAAGGTACACCGGGTACTCTTTGAAGATAGGCTAGGGGAACAATTAACTAACTGCATTTTAATTGAATGTTCTCACTTGGCATTTATATAGTCACTTTTTTTTTTTTTTCGGTCTTTAAGATAGGGTCTCCCTGTAGCCCGAGCAGGCCTGGAACTCTCTATGTAGACCAGGCTGGCCTTGAACTCACAGAGATCCACTTGCCTCTGCCTCCGGAGTGCTGGGATTAAAAGTGTGCGCCACCACACCCGGCATATAGTCACTTTTTAAAAGTCATAAATCAACTACTGAAGGGTGAAGCTCCTTTGTAAGTGAGGCAGTCTCCTGGGTCCATTTTGCAAAAACTCTGCAGTCCTGTATTACCAAGAGACATTAAGAAGCACAACACCATAAGCAAGTCATCACTTGTGGGAAACTATGACTTCGTATAGTACTAAGTGATGTGGTTTATCAAGAGTATTTTTCTTTCTAGTCCTGGCTTTCCAAAGAATTACATACCTTTAAAAAAATAAAACTGGGCAGGGGAGATGGTTCAGTAGGTAAAGTGCTTTGCATAAGATTTGAATTGGTTCAGTAGGTAAAGTGCTTGCATAAGATTTGAATTCAGATCTCTAGTATACATGTAAAAAGTCAGGTGTGGCTTCATGTACCTGTAACTCCAGAACAGAGAAGAGAAGACAGGACGATCTCAGTAGTTCATTGGAGGGGGGTGGAGAATATGTCACACATAAAATTATCTTTTACATTTTTTGATGGACACAGCCTCCTTAATAGGATAGCACCTCAACCCATCTCCTACACTGAGCCTGTTGTTATTATGGGGGCCATTTCAAGTCCTACCCCCTTTGAAGCCTTCCCTCACATCAATGAAGACATTAGTGTCTAGGGAGTAAACGCTAAAGTGAGAGGCTGGGTTTGAGCACTTAACTAAATGTATGATTTTCGGCGTCACAAGTTATGAGCCTCATTTTTCTTCCTTTGTGAGGATTAAATAGCATCCTCTATTTCAGTGCCTACTGTCTAACGGACCCAAGACAAATGATGTGGTACCCTTCTTCCTTTGAAATCCTATAGTATTTCTCCATATGGATCTCATTTGGCATAACCACAAATTATCATATGCTGGTGAATGTTTCCTGCATCCCTCTAGGAGTTATGTCCTAGAGGCACATGGCTATATCTGTCTCCCCCATCAGTCAATACAACCACCTTGCCCCATGTATGATAACTGGAATTTCTTATGCACTGTGCCAAGTATCACACCCCATCTGGTCTCCAATATTTTTTATAACAATGCTAAGATTGACGGCAAGTGCTGCGGTGTCCTCACTTCACAAATGAAACAGCTCAGTTGGGTTGAAGAAGCAGTTTTGTGAGCACAAAGGATTATTGAATGATGCTAACTGTTCTCTTAGCCCTGGGGCTATGCTGCTCCCTCAGGATCTTCCTCTGTATCTGCCTATTAGCATTTCACCTTTGTTAGGGCCCTGTAGTTGTATAGGCTATGTACTGCATGAAAGGGTTCGGCCAGAGGGTGGAGTGGTCTAGCCTACATCATTTCCCTTGGCTTGAACCCATTTGGGATTATAAACTCCTGAAGAAAAAAAAAAAAAGGATGGCTTTTTCAAAGATTGGCCTTCATAAATGTATATTATTATGTGGTGTGGACATAAAGCCATCAAGGTCTACCATCTATCTCCTCAGCTCTCAAATCTGTCATACCCATCTAACCTCAAGTTCCTAGTGCCTACTGCTTCAGCTTCAAAAACTCAAAGGTGTTTCCATCTTTCTCTAATCTAGGTGCTGGAAATATTTTGTATGTAAAGAACCAGATAACAAATATTAAGTTTGCAGGTCACATGGTCTCTGTCGCTACTCAACTCTGCCTTTGTGGTGTAAAGCTGGCCTCAAATAACATGTAAACAAATTTGTAGGGTTTTAGCAGGGCAGGAGAGATGGCTCAATTCTCAAGAGCACCGGCTGCTCTTGCAGAGGACCTGGGTTAGAGTCCCAGCACCCACATGACAGCTAACAACCATCTGTAACTCCAGATCCAGGGGAATCCAGCGCCCTCTTATGACCTCCATGGGCACTGCACGACATGCAGGCAATACACTCACACAAATAAAGTATTTTTTTTAAACCTGATTTTTAATGAAGAGGATAGGAGTCCTATCCAAGGACCCGCATTCTGCAGACTCTTAAGTCTCTACACTTTGGTCATTTGTGACCTTTTGTGTTCCTGGCCCTGTTGCATGAGGGAGCTTCATTAATGAGAACTGAGATATTACTGTCCTCTTTACCGCTTGTTCTATGTTCCGTGAGCCTTCGGGGTAGAGGCTGCATTGTAGATGTGCCACGTGGACTTGGGCAATTCTGCCTCTGCCACCCAAGTACTCGGATTAAAAGCATGCACCATTCCTTTCCCAGGAATATAGTCTTTGTCCTGAATTTTAATCTTTTCCTTCACCATTTTGCTTCCCAGTGCTATTTTCCTAACAAGAGATTATTCAGCTTTACCTGGTTTTGAATCGTACGGTAGAACTGTACTACACATATCTTTCCCTATTTTATA